GCGCGTCTTTGACCGGCGGCAGCATGCACGCGTCGAGGTCGGCGAGCAGCGCCGGGTGCAAAATGCCATTCGCCCGCGCCTTGCTCGTGTGGATGCTCAGAATCTGACCGCGACCGTGCTCGTCCGGCAGGTTGATCTCGACTTGGACCTCGAGACGCCCCGGACGCATGAGCGCTTCGTCCAGCATGTCCTACAGGGATGGTTGGTTGATACATTGATACATGGACAAGACACTTAAAAATCCTCGCACCTTGCGGTTGGTCATGCCAATGACAAGCACGTTGTTGAGCGAGTCGACGCCGTCAATTTGCGTCAAGAGCTGGTTCACGACGCTGTCGCCGACGCCCGTGCCATCCCGGGACGACCCGCGCGCCTTGCAGATCGCGTCGATTTCATCGAAAATGATAATGTGCAGCTCGCTGTCTTCGCCGACCTCGTCTTGCTCCTTACGCGCGTCCGCAAAGAGATCGCGGATCTTGCGCTCGGATTCGCCGACAAACTTGTCGAGGATCTCGGGCCCGTTGACGACCTTGGGCTCCTTGGCGTTGAGCACCTACGATCCTGTTGAGTGTCTCGTGGAAAAATAGAGGGTTTTTGAGAAAGAAATCGTGTACCTTGCCGATCTGCCGCGCAATGAGCGTCTTGCCGCAGCCCGGCGGGCCAAAGAGAAGCATGCCCCGCACGTGCTTGATCCCGAGCTTCTCAATGACCGACGCGGGGAAAACGCGGGACGCGAACGCGCGCCGGAAGATGTCGTTGAACTCCTTATCGAGACCGCCGATACCGAGCTTGGAGAAGTCAAAGTCGGGCTTGAAGATGCGGTTGCCGCCACCCGATGCGCTCTAGAGTGGCCGCCGCATGAGACGCTTGTGGTGCATGTAGAAGCAGTCGTGGTACCTGGTTGAGGAGCTTGAAGGGCGCGTCTTTGCCCTTGGAGAACACGAGCGCGCTGCCTGCGACGTAGAGACCGACGGTGGGCGCGAGACTGGTCGGCGCGGGCGGCGCGTCGGGCGGCGTGAGGAGCTCGACCTTGGTGACGCACATCTTCACGGGCTTGCCGCCAATGTCAATGACAATACACTGGCCGGGCGAGAAGGCTTGGTTGAGGTACTGCTGCTCGAAGATTCTCTTGACCGCTTCGCAGTCGAAATCGGCGACGATGTTGGAGCGCATGAGCAGCGCCTGCACTTCGAAGTGGACGGTCGCGATCGCAAAGCCGCGCGCTACGTCGGGAACCCACGGCGTGAGGGCAACGGACTGGCCCATCGCGAGGTTGGCGCTCAGGCGGTGCATCTGGCCCATGCCAACCGTGCCCATTGGCGTCTCGGCGAGCGGCTGCGCCGCAAAGACGTACTTGTTGTTGGCCCAGACGTTGAGCCCCGACGCCTTGAGCTGCTCGACGCTC